CTTACGGTTTGGGCTGTGCGTTGATCACCAATCAGTCAGTCAGTCAGTCAGTCAGTCAGTCAGTCAGGACAAACAGTTTTATATATAGAGATTATTTAAGAAAATACTATAAAAAGGAAAAAGAAAGAATGAAGTTATTAATAAAGTAAAGAAATTTGTACTAGATATATAGAATGTTAAGTAGATAGGATAAAGGGATAGTGATGGGAAATGACCGACCCGGTGGGGAAAAATTTATGGGTGTCGGCAAGGTAGTGGAGTAGGAATCGAAGATTGAGTTTCCAATTTGAACCTCGTAAGACAAAAGCAGAAATTGCTTCTGAACTGCTACGGTCCTGGATTATGTTATACTGCGGAGTTCAGATGCAAGAGAGATGTATTGGAGTTTGGTTATGAAAGGACCGTTAAACGCCTTAGACCAAAGTTTAATGAATCCAAGTACACTTTTTGCCTCATTAACGATGTTAGCTATATGAAGATTAAATCAAAAGAACGCCTATGCCTTTAACTGTTAGTTGCAATAAAGTATTGTTGATTGTATAACTGACAAGATAAGGTGTAGTACGACTGACAGTCATAAGCATACACATTGAAAAATTTAGGTGCCATTGATTGGCCTAACACCAAAGTTGCATAGCGTTGAAATCATCTTGTAGTCGAGAGTGATGTAGGGGATCAATGTATGTAAGTTTCACCTTGTCCGCATACATAAGTACATGGGCGTGTGATATAACCGAGAATTCGAAGTGAATATTTTTTCAAATAATTTAGGGATAGCGGACAGCAATGGACGAATAAGGGAAAAACTACACTCCTTGAGTTGACAACTAGGAATATTGTCAGGCCCCGGAGGGTAAGAAGATTTTAAAGAATTTAAAGCAGAAAGGAGAAAGGTATAGAACTAAAGGAAGTAATATTGTAAGGTTAAAAATTATTATTAGGACAGACGAAAGAGTAAATTGATTGGAAGAAATTGGCAAAGAGGTTAGCAGAATCAGAATCATTGCTGGCTTTATCCATCCCGAGAGGAAAAGAAGTTGGCAAACTTGAAGATTTACGCTTCAAGTTTACAAAATTATAAAACTGTCTCGGATTTTGGGCAAATTGCCTTTTGCAACGAGAAAGATAATTCTCATAGCACTGAGAACTCAGAAAAAAAAGTTTGACTGGGCTATAAAATATTAAACTTTTGAAAATATTAAGATCTTATATTTTTCAGGTTTGATAGTCTGGGAGTAAGCCTGGGTGGCAACGGCGTGTCTTATTGGTAGCTGGGAAATGAGAAAAAAGAGGTTTGCAATTGAACTTGATATACATCCTCATGAAGAGATAAAGGAGCGGACCTAGCACACATTAGCATTAAGGTAATCATTGACAAATAAAAGATCAAGTGTTCCATTCAAATGATTAGAAATTGAATTGATTTGAAACAATGAAAAGTCCAGCATGCAATCTATAAATTCATGCTCGGCTGAGGGTACTAGATAATTTTCGTCAGTGAATAATAAACAGGTCATTATCACGCACATGTGTAGAAACTTCTTTAATACAAGTAATATGTTCCATATAAACTTGAATATCAGAAAAAGGAGGAACATAGGAGCATGTGATATAAAGTCACCTTAACTGAGACAATCTTGGCGTCAGTAGGCGTAGTTAAACAGAAAGGTCCTGACTTTAGAGTGGTTTTAACGGCAATTAATACCCCACCACTTCGAGTCGGCCGATCATTTCTATGCACAATAGAAAATGCGATTATAACCGAATCAAAGGAGATTTTAAGCTTAGAAATAAGACATCTGTCATTCTCATAAAGAATAGAAACTAGGTCGGAAGACGAAGTTCGTTTTTTGTGGCAGTAACGGTAGGAAGGGAGAGGAAAAGCTGGTTTCGATTTTTTTGCTTAAACCCGTAAACAATCGTGTGAGGAGGCCAAAATTTAGGATCACAAATGATTGGGAAGGAATCATGTAAAACATTAGCATAAGATTCGCTAGCAATTTAAGCAGCCAATGAATCACAAGTGGTATCAGACAAAAGCCGGGACACAAAAACTTGCTTACGAGGGGCAACAACAGTCAAAATAGGAGCATATGGGGCTGTATATGAAATAGGCGTTGGTGGGGCTGAAGAAACACCATGACTGCTTTTAACAATCTGGGCTAGATTGCGCGAGGGTCTTCCTTTGTAGTCAGAAGCGGACGGTGCTGAAGCAGCTTCACTGACTGGGGCAGGTTCTAATATAGGATAAGTGTAAACGAATGAAATGTATTTCATGAAACAAAATAATACATCCTTTTCTATTCCATGGCATTCAATCCATTCCTTTTCACTTTAGCTTTCGATATGCATGCTTATGCATGTCTATAACTGCAGATTCACAAGTTCTTTTAAAAAAATATTTTTATATTTATGTGTGACCTTCTTAAACCAGAATTTTTGATTATGCGTAAGAGGTTGAACTATATTTTTTGTGCTAAATTTTTGCAACACCTTTCAGAAAGTAGATGAATTTCAAGTAGAACCAATTGATTTCTCTGCATTAAATAACAGTTTGTACTGTGTAAACCGAATCCATGAAATCTAATACATAAAAGTTAATCCTTATCCTCCTTTTAAATCTTCATGAAAATAGATGAAAGAAATAAATTGATTTGTTTGAATACATTTTTAGTGTCAGATCTTAGACTTAATATGTTAAGATTTACTCGATTAGCGATACCTTAATTCATTGAGAAAGCGGCTTTCCTCCCAAATGATTTTACGCTAGCACACAAACTAATCTGTCACTAATTTGCTTGCCACATAATGGCCAAGGCATAATAATAATAATAATATTTTTTTCTGCTGCCACGCCCCAGCGCTTTGGTGAGTGGGGCGGCGAGCGTGGCACGCCCACACAGTTGCGAGCTGTGAGTGGAGGCGCCAATGCGAGTGCGGCTGACGTAAAGTCATCAGGCGTCTGACTTAACAACTTTGCAGTGACAAGTTTCAATGTCTTTTTTTTTTTGTGAGCGCGCGTGTTACTATGAACACTTTGTCAAGTTTTTGCTTTTAGACAAGCTCGTCATCCTCGGCAGCTCGTGCCCATTTCTATTCGCATTCAAAGTCCTCCCCAACCGTTTATAGCGCGCTCTGCCTGGGCATCCGCGTCGTCATCATCATCCTTGTCGTCATTTCGTTTGTGAGTTGGCTGCGTCTTTGTGTTGCTTGGCTGCATCCGAAAGTTCACTCGACTCAAAAGTGTGATTTACCAAAGTCACCCAAAACACCGAAAGTAAATTAACTGTTACAAATGTGCGTTAGTGTGCGTGGGTGTGTCGCTCTCTGTGTTTGTCTGTATATGGCTGGCTAATCATGCGTTTATTGCGCAGTGCCTACGATGCGTATGCGTAACACAATTTTCAGTACGTCTAATCAACTTTCATTGAGGCAGTGGGCGAAGCTCATCAGTTGGCATATTTAGAATGTCAAAGGAAAATAATATATTCAAACTCGGCTTGGAGTTAAATGAATCAGATGTCTGCATTGAGTGGGTTTTTGGGTACTTCCCCATATCAGTCAATTTTAATTAATTAATGATCCATGCGCTCCCAAACCGGAAAAAATAGCAGGGGATTTGTGACAAATCCTTTCCTTTCGTTAAACTTAATGGGATCTAAGCAGTTGAACCTATATTTTGAAAATCTGTGCGAAAATGAACTAAATTGACACTTATCGGAAAATCCAATCTTTCTGCGTAGAAAATGGTGGTCTACGCTTTTGTAGGCGATGCTTTAAACTTATTTTCAAAGACCATTCGCAGCGAATCGACTATTATGCAAATAGGTATAGAGATAGGCATAACTAGTGCGGGTAACTAAGCAGCAATGATACTTATGAATGTAAATAGCTAAGACACTTTTTGTAACGTTAACAACATGATGTTATCCTTTACCAATGTTTGTATGTATATTGCTAAGAACGCTTAGTCAACCTGGTTCTTACAGGATTAAAGTTAATTTGTAGATGCACAAGTGAAAAGACATACAAATTATCCTTAACATGAGAGTTTATATTTTGCAAACGAGTCGATGGCCTTAGAAGCTATCACTCCCTCCCTTTGGTTTTTATATTATATTTTTTTTATAATAATTAATCACGTAAATAAATATATTTTGCAAATACTGCTCCGACCCCAGCTACCTTGTATGACCACCCAACGTTCGTTTTACTTTCTTAGAGCCAACAAGCTCACAAATTGTCCAAAAATTGAAATAACTTTAGCTATGGCGACTGCATGAGCCTTTGCACTGCTGCTTGGCATTTCCGGATTCCGCTCTGTTGTTAGCAGCACCACTTCAGCCTTTATGAGCTGAAGTAGCGCTCGTTTTTCTACAGTTTTTCACAGCTAGTCTTGGATACTCTATATGATAAGTATGTAAGAAAAATACTTTATTTTTATACCCATGTAGAGGGTTTTATAATTTTGCCATGAAATATGTAACGCATTTGAGGGGACCCGACCCGACCCGAACCGACCCCAGAAAGTATATATATTGTTATCAGTATCACAGCTAATTTAACACCATCTACCTGTTTGTTTTTATGTGACCTAGTCTCTCAGCCTTAAAACTTTGAAGATATCCGTCTTTCTGTTGCAGGCAGTGCATATATCGCAACTGGCCGGATCGGACCACTATATCCAATAGCTGCCATACAGAAAAGTTGTTTCTTGTATGAACAACTTTTTTTCTGCAAGATATCTTGACAAAACTCTCTTATTAATACTAATTTACACATGGACCAAAATTGATCAACAACGGCCTTTTTAATTATAGACTGAATCGGTCAACGAATAAGTGTTTGTATGAAAAATAATTTGTTTTTTCAAGATATTTTCAAAACAGAAACAAATCTTCTCAGATATCTGCATGCTCGTAAGGGTACTTAATCTTCGGCGTGCCAAAGATAACCGTTCTTTCTCGCTTTCATTTTTATTCGATTGAAAAATAGAAATATTTATGTGAGAATCAATGTCCAAGTGAACAGCTTTTATTTTACTTAATTAAAGTACAAATCCAGAGCGCTTTCTAGCCGTGCAAATTGTATTATTTTTCATTAATTTTTTACTTATTTTCTTTTTAATTTTGTATGCCTTTTGTCGTTTGCTCTGGAAATATTTGCGCTTCGTTATCATAAGGCTGGTTCACATTGACAAAACACCTGGAGGGAGCAGTAGATGAATTTGATAGAACTGAAACTTTTAATTGCGCGTCTTGAATTTGTATTCTTGTTGTCAACTTATGTATGAAATATTCTTGTCAAGTTGTTGCCAATCAATGTGACCAGCCTTTAATATTTATTATTATTTTCGTGTGACCATTTGTCAAGATGCTGCCGAAATCCTGAGCCCGTGAAATTGCTGAGACATGACTTGATTGAGTGCCATTTATTTGGCAGATGCTGCCGCCGCCGTCGCTGCTGCTATTGCTACTGCTGCTTCTGTCTTGACGTCCATTTTGCTATGAAATTGTCGGAAAATGTCGGCCGACATTGATTTTGGCTGTGCCAGTTATGGGGCCCATTAGTCACGAGCGTTTTGAGTGACATATGATAACCAGATGCTGTTGCAATTGTCTCTTTATCTCTAGCGAATTGTGTCACATTTTCGAGGTCATATTTATCCTTTCCATGGCCAACCAACAACAAAACCACAAAAAAATTGTCGACCAAAAAATATGTTTTAAATTGCATTCAAACGTTGACATCCATTAGGCGCTGCAAAAAACAACAATTTGAAATGGAAATATGGAAGGCTGTGAGAGGCAAGGCCCACACTTGGCATCAATTTTTACATTTCAAGCCACAGGCTGCCTAACACTCCAGTTGTTAGGGCCACACAACAGCCACAACCACACTCACACATAGAAAGGCGTCGAGAACAATGCAATTGAAACTCAGAATGCAAGCCCAAAGCCGAAAACTCAAACTGCAAAACATTGAGACATCTAAGAATTTGCCAAATGCAAAGCGATACCAACAACCCAGCTAGCTGCAGAAAGCCCACAGATACACATGCACATAGTAACGTTCCTATAGATCCGAGTGCTGGGTGCTGGCTGCTTCATTCCTATTGCTTGCACAGAAGTAACCAAATGAAAATCAGTGCAAAACGTTTGGAAATTTTACCAGCTAGTTCTCTTGCTCGCAATTGCCAAGTATTTGGCAGCATGCTGATACCGAATTTCCATCACTTTCTTGTCATTCCCTATCTCTTAAAGGGTATAAGCATAAAAATATCTATTTTGTTGATTAGCTATTTGTTATAATGAGCAAATTTCTAAAGATAGCTTGTTAATAGCATGTTGAAAACACGTGTTCTCAATTTTGGGTTGTTTAATTCAATCTATTAACAAAATAAAGAGAATACATCAATTAAACGCCTAATAAAACTAGTAGCTTGCTTAGATGAATCGATTCAAATTCTGCTATAAAGTTACAGTTTATGTATGAAAACCAGACGAGGTGTATCACTGACCCAGTCATTTAAGCATCTGACCAGGTAATAGTTAGAATAATGATAATTGTAAAGAATTATTCAAAATATAGTCGCATTGCAAATTAACGTTGCAACAAACATAAACAGTTGTCTTAATGGAAGCATATTTATAATTTTAAGAATAATAATTCTTGCACACGATAAATAAAAGTTCTTGCACACGAGTTACTATTGTAAGTGAAAAAAGTTGTTGCTTATGAATTATTATAGTAAGTGTATAACAGCTTAACCATTTGAATGGCGCATTTCCCCGATTCTGTTTCGGCCCGCGTGTTTTGGTGTATGCCGTAAGCTGGGTGTTGGGATTTGGGTGTTGGGTGTTGGATGCTAGTTGCGTGCTCGTGGCATTTATGTCAAATGCAGAATTTCCGTTTCATACTTTCTGCACTTGCTGTTTATTGTTGGCCCCCGCTCGCAGTGAGGCAGTTTGACTGTGTATCAGCTGCTGTATCTGATGCGTGTGTGTGAGTATTTGTATTTGTATCTCTAGCTGTGTGCTGGCTTTTATTTTAAAACTTGTTGGCTTTACTTGCGCAAAGTTTTTGACAGTTGGTTGCCTCTGGTTATATTTTGCTTGCAAATTGTTTGGCTGCGCAGCTCGTGCTTCAAATTGCCCCATTTCGCTGGAGTTTTTGTGAGTTTGCTGATTTAAATTGCCGCTCATTAAGTGAACATAAGCAGTAAGCCGAACAGGTGCTGGGACAAGCACTTGAACAGCATTTGACGTCGCCGGCATCAGTGCGTATGAGTGATAAATGGAGACTTTCCGCCAAAAGTGGTATTTGCTAGTTTGTGTAAGTGTTGTTCTTATGGGCTTAGTTTTTTCATCTCATAAAGACTGCCAAATCATTAAATTTTAATTGCTTTTTATTTGCTTATTATTTATATTGTTCTATGGTGGAAAAGTGCCCTAGAAACTTTAGAAAACGCAAATTCATTATAGGGTATTGATTGTTGCTGTTGCTGCTGTTGTTTTTGTATTTGTTGTCAAGCATCGTTTTTGCTATTGTGGTAAATGTTTGGTGGTTGCTGCGGCTTTTCCGTCCCTTTTATTGATTGGCCCTAGAAAATTTATGGTTGATTAACTCTTACACTCCTGCCTTCCTCTCTGATTACCCTTTGCCCGCTGCAGTAACTGTGTATGAATTTAGCATATAAATTAAAATTTATTAAGCAGAAATATTATAGTTTGGACAATTAAGCCGTCACTATTTTTATCGAACCTATTCAATTTTAAATAGAACTAGCTTAAAGCTCTATGTTAATATTCCTTATCTCTTACAAATAGTAACTGTACCTTTTATTTCACATGCTACAAGACTTCCACTTTAACTCACATTTAATACTCTTGAGTTGCTGCTTCTATTATTTTTAAGTATCCTCGAGCTTCTTTAGCTTAGATCAGGCGCTCACCTCGGCATTCATGTAGCTTCCTTTGGTCGTACTATGCCAATTAAGTAACTGCAGCTACCTATGGATACTGGCTCGGTCTAAGTGGGCTGGGGCATTACAGGGCTATGATTGAAATTATTTTTCTGTTTTACACAACCCATCACACACACACATACACACACTTATACACAAAAAAAAAGCATTCTTTTTGGATCGCAAACAAAACTGGGAAATGCCGCTAGCAGCAGAAGTACAAAATGCACTCTGCAGTTGAAAAACAATTTTACACGGGATTATGACAAGGGGTGAGGGTAAGAGGTTGAGAGGTTGAGGGCCCCAATGAAAAGGTGGCTTGAGCTGGGCAGCTAATAAAGAGCAAACATGGAGCTCTCTATACTTTTCCTTGCTCGTACTTGTTGCATAATATTTAGGTTTTTATTAGCGTGCAGCTAACAAGGGCCCATGGGCAAGAGGAGCGGGCAAGAGGACGAGGCGTGTAACGAGTGGCTCAGCGGCAGCAGCAGCGGTGCTACAGCATTTTCTTAAATCTTGAAACGCTCTTTCAACGTGATTGCTTTAGTTGGGCCAATAACATGTTTTTAGGCTAATACGATTTTATGTTGGCCCGAGCCACAGATCCATAGAGCCTTCTTGCTTTCTGGCCAAGGACACGCTGCAGCGTAAATGTAATTGCAAGCTGAGTTGCAGTTGCTGTTGCAGTTCAAGTTGTCAGTTGGCAAGCATCTTTAATACGACTTTGCTAACTCATTGCACACGTGAGCGATTTGTTGAGGCCAAATTTATATGTACATGTCTTTATCTGTGTGTAGTTTGGCCAGTATAGCGTAATTGGAATTTAAAAAAAAATAGACAGAATGCGCAAATATTTAATGCACTATTCATTCGCACTCCCATTTGAATTTCATTGCAAATTCTAACAGAGATTTATTCCCACTCACAATTTTACACAATACACACATATCCATGGAATATGTGTGTATTATTACATGCATGCTGACACATATTCTCACACGATTTAGATTTTCAATTATCAATTGCAAACGTATGCATAAATATTGATTGGAGACAAGAGTGTAATCGATTTTTGTAGGGAGCCACATCTAACTATTTCAGCTCGTTGTACGATTAATAACCGGGTAAAGCTATTGAGCTTTATAGCTTTAAGAGAATAGAAAACAACATTTTCGAGGTGTGAAAATGTGCCAATTATTTAGCAAATGAAAGCGATCGGTTTCAATATTCAATTATTTTTAAACCGTTTAATCCCCATTGAAAAAAGGACAAATACTATTTATCCAATTAATCTATAGTCATCGGGATATTTATCAGATAATATCCAATTAATATATATAGTATTCCCTTGGTATTGTTATATCCCTCAGAGAGAAAAACATTTAATAATATTGTAGTATTTATAATAATGTAACAACACTTTTTAACTGTATCGGAGAAAACCCTGACCAGTTCTAAATTGCTTTAAGACACATTCTTAATTAAACACAGATTCATTTGCCATCCATTTGGAAGAGACTAAGACACATATCACTAAAAGAACATGAGAAGAAGAGATCTAGAAGATCGAAAAACAAATAAAGAAAGAGAGAGGGAGACAGATATTGAGATAAATCGCGAGAGAGATACAAACACATTGCAGGATAGAAAGAGCATAGAGCTTACTAAATTGACAACACATCTTGATATTATAACTTTCTTTATGAATTAATGACAGTCGCGTAGTAGCTGATTGTTTAAAAATACTTTTTTCATTTTGCAAAAGAGTGACATAAATGCCACATGTCTCTATATATAAAACTGTTTGTACTGACTGACTGACTGACTTATTGACTGACTGATTGGTGATCAACGCAAAGCTCATACCGTTAGAGCTAGGAAGCTGAAATGTTACCTGTAGTTACCTTATGTGATGAAGGTGTACGTAAAGACGGGGTTTCGGAAAATTCCACCCGCAAGTGTGGAAAAATTGAAAAACGTTTGTATGAAACTTTTTTATTTACCATCCGATCCGCCTCAAACTTATTTTCAAAGATCTTCGTTCAAATTCATTTGAGGGGTGTTCCACACTTTTCGAATAATGCATTCCCCCTTGGTGAAGGGGGGGTGTCAAAGATTGGGTGGTGACGTTTCGTGTTCAAATTTATTTCCAAAGATCTATGCAAAGAATCATTTGAGATGTATTTCACCATTTTTGCAGAATACTAGCTTTCTATGTGAAAAATTAGATTCCAATATTTTTTTGGGGAAGTTTTAAGATTTGGGACTTACAACATTACAACGTCGTGGTGGCGCCAACTTGGAGATACGTTATCTAGGTTTGGGGCATTCGAGATGCAATGTACAGCCAAGTCGGAGCATTCGCCAACCGGTACAACGAACGCTTACAGCGAGACTGCAACCGGGTAGCAAGAGACTTCACTGGGAGGTGTCTAGTCAGGAGGCTCAAGAGAAGATCGTTCAAGGACCTCCTCCAACCACGACATAGAAGACGCCCCAGAATCCCCGGATTACCTACGTGACGATGCAGCCTTGTTCAAAACATACGCCTTTGACGTTTGTCTACGATAAAGCCTGAGGACTCAACCAGGCTTGGCGAAATGTCACCTAAGCCAACTGTGTTGTAATAAAAATGTAGGCTATTTGTTATTCAATACAATAAACATTTACAAAAATAAAAAAACAAAGCTCTAAATAAGAACTTAATGAATACGTGTTTCAGCGATTTGGGAAATTCCACCCGGAACAGATATAGCATGCCTTGCTTTTCTCCTCATAAGTTCAGTGTGTATTGTGCTCCGCAAAAATCTTGAAAAACAGTGACAAAAACGGACAAGCCCACCCAACAGTGGCATAATAATACATTTAAAAGTGAATTCAACCTCAAACTATTCAAAAAATTCGTGAAAGTGCCTAAAATAAAGAAAGAACCAAAAATCAAAACTGCTAATGTGCAATTTGCACAAACGCAAAAACTGGGAGCTGTCAAAGCCAGTGCTGCCAATAACAATGCCGAGTTGGCCACAACAATGGCAGCCAGCTTAAACAACTGTCAGGCTGCCATGGAAAATAAAAACTTAAAAAACGAAGACGTCCCTGCTGCCCATGCATACAACACACGCAGCAACACCTGCACCAGTCATGCAGTAATCAGCAACATCTTACCACCAGCTAATCCCGAAGCCAACAGCAATCAAGTGCAGGGGATCCCAGCCCCGCTCACTGAAGCACCTAGATCTCAACCTGTTGACATGAACGAGGCGCGCCTGTACATCCCTGAGGGATGGAGTCAGACGCACCAGCTTCTATTCCAGCAACACGGCATTGTAAGCTCAACAGCAACCACAACAACTACAACCACCGCGTCCTCAAGTAGCGGCTGCAGAACCTCTGCCTCCACTGGTACAAGCCGTGCCGCACTGGAGCCCATTGGAACTCGCCCCAAAACCGC